TACCGTCCCGTTTTATGCAAGTATTTTCTGTTTTCTTCATCTGTAATCACTATACTTATATTTTCCACAAATTTGTTGTACATATGTATATGAGGTTGAATTCATAGTGCAACGACGGCACGAAAATTATTTACTCGAAAACTATTGAACTACAGAAGAAAAATTCGTTTATAGTAAACAACCTTCAATCAATAGTGACATTTTAAAATATGTTTCTCTCTAAAACTTTATTTTAAATATTTTATGCTTTTACTATTGGAGTATGGTTTAAGCGAAATTTTGTGAAACATTTATATATTATATTTCGTGCTTACAAACACCGTCTTCGATATTATTTGAGCTTCAATACACCTCGAATTATTACAAAACAAAGCATATTCAATAAATCACTTCATTTCTCATAGAAGTTAGAATTTCTGTCTTCCTGGTTCCATGCAGGGATTGTCAAAAGTGCAAACATATATTAATAAATAAATTTATTAACGACCGCTCGAATTATTTTATTTAGCTAAGATAACATTTTTCTCTGTTAAAATCGACTAATTCTGACTTTTCAAAGCATATCCACTCGGAAAGCCGCCTATTTTGTATTGAAATTATAAATTAAGTTTCTATCAGCAAAGTCATTCAGCTATTTTACTAATGTGTAAAAATGAAAAAAGTTTTCAACTCCAACTTTTTGTTAATTTCTATAAATAACAACGTACGGTGTAACTGAGCATTTTATACTCTCGCAATTATCAAAGTTTAAATCCACATCCATATTTTTAGATGTTGACAAACTTTATTATTTTTAGAATACATTGCTTAAAGTTTTAAATTTATCATTATTGTACGAAACTATAGTTTCATTACTATATATCGATTCCGCGATATTTATATTAAAATAAACATAATATACCTCGTGTTTGTATACATACATATGTGATATAAACTCAACCCAAAAGGGCTAAATTAAATAAATAGGGTAGATCAGGTCAACCAGAGTATCAGAAATCATTGTATTAGAAATATGGGGCTTAACCCAGGATCTACACCGATTTTATTCATTTTCACAGCTTAATCACATTATGGTTTAAACAATATGTCCACTAAACTTTATTAAAATAACATACAAATTGAACCACATAAACAGTTTAAAGTAAGGTAAGAAGTCGGAAATCACTCCATTGGGTTTAAAGTCAGCTGGAAACCACAAGTATGGGATTATTAGGACTAGAAGAAGCTCTGGACTGACTGCATTAATTTTGGTATTACTAAAGTCTACTCGAAAAAAAGTTTTTATGCAGTTTTAAAAAGATAACTACCACACTGATCGACATATTAGGTATAAAGTTCACTAGAATAACGACAATCTTTAGGTTTATTCTCTTTTTCTTGCAAAAATTCTTGTACGGTGCACGAATTACACAAATATGCATAGACTTCCACTCCGTGCAATGGCACCACAACATTCATATTGTTCAATATATACAGTATAAAGGCAACTGAAGTATATGGGGCTAGGATAAGTATTGATCCGATTTTTTAACAAGAGTACATGATTGATGGGCGATGATTCTTATTCAGAATTTCAATAATATATATATCCCATAGATTAAACGTTATTTGCAGTAGAAAGTCTGTCATAGGCTTTGGGGTCCAAATATGAGGTATCTGGGGGCTTGAAAAGTCATGGCCCGATTTTGACAATTTTTGACATGCAGGTATGCCATATGGAATTTTAAGTTATGATAAAAGCGAAACAAACGTGGTTATGCACCAAATTTGGTTGAAACTAATGAAGAACTCGTAGATTTAGGATTTTGGGACTGAAAAAGACCATTTTGGCTCTGAAACTTAATACTGCTGACGTATTAATTTATCGCATTTGAAGTAGTTTTCAACATACCTCCCATGGGCATGGTTATTATCCCATCTCATCTATTTTTATCACGCATGAGGGGGAACTGGGGATACTGTTTTAAACAATTTGGGTTTTGTAGTTTTAATGAATTATGAGAAATGTACATCAAAAGTATTAAGGGGCTTGGCGTGGCCCCTTTTTAAAAACTTTAAACTGAGGATGCCCTATATATCTTTGTTTCTTTGAAAAAATGTATCTCTTAAAAAAGCTGTTTATAATTTTTCGCTTAGTGGCATTTTATGAGCGTACGCATTGAACCGTTGTCTATTCCACCAATTTGCAAAAACACCCTCCTCAGGGTGCCAGGCAACAGGTGTACCAAGTTTCATCAAGATATCTAAATTTTTCACGTGATCTATAGAAAAAGTTAATATGATACCAGTCCTAATTTTGTTCGACTGATAATTTCTTAATAGCTTATTATAGTTTAGAAAAATTTATTACGGAAACAAAGATCATTATATAGTTTAGCTTCAATACCAATTTGGACTATAATAATATTTAATTAAAACTAGGGCCAAATATTATAGTGAATTGCTAATGCTTTGTGTGCATAGATTTATTTCTTCCTTAATAATCATTTGGTTAGAAAATTTTATTAGAATTTAGAAAGAAAATGTGTTCTCTTCATTTTAGAAAACCATAACTGTGAATTTTTTTCTTTTATAAATAAATCAATAAAATACATGTATTGCCAATCCACTAAGTGTTTTAAGTTTTCTAAGACAACATGCATTAAAATTTGTTAAAAAGCCATGAAGTATGTATTTTTTAGTAAAGTTTATTTAACCTTAAAGTTTGCAGTTATTTCGATTATATACAGCATATTCCATTACTTTAGTTTAAAAACTTACTTACTTAATCTATTATAAACTTATATATGATTTCGAGTTTTTATTCATTACAATTATAATATAATATTATATTTCATACTCGTATATGCGGGTAATGAAATTACGTATATATGGTTTCTTGTTACTTACTTGAATATTACCGCTAGATGTATGAACATATGAATATATTGTTTAAAATTATTAATATTGTAAGCACACGTAAGTGTATATATATAGGTATATTTTTTCATTTGTTAAGTATTTACGTATTTTAGTTGGTTCTAGTATTGTAAACTGTTGTGTATTTTGTTATTGTTTTCTTCTTTACGTCATACGTACATTTGTTCATAAGCTTATTTATTTGATAATATATTCTTATTGTTAAATCAAATGCCTGCAATATACAAACGATTGCATTAAATAGAAATATGCTTAATTCAATATTTGCTTTAGACTTACCAAGTGAAAAGAAAAGATGGGAAACCAACTAAAACAAAGACATTGTTGCAATAATGATCTTAACGAACTTTATTAAAATCACCATTTAGCCATTTTTAAAATCCTCCCATTTTCATAACTTGCAACGACTTCTGTTTAAATATGTGTTAACGAAATAAATTCACTCAACTTAGCTTTCATTCACAATATTATTCTGAGTGTTATAAATATTATTATTAATATTAATATAATAGAAATTAACACAGCGAATATTCCTCAACTGAGGCAGATAAAAAAGTTATGATGGAATTTCAAAGAAGTATTACCCATACAACTAGAAATTGTCATAATAACCGAGTTTTTAGGACAACAATTGCTTTACTTTACTGTGTTCACGAATTTTCATTGGGCAAAGGAGAACTCCAAGCTATAGCAAGCAACATCTTTGAAAGATGGATCTAAGATATGCAAGGATTATTTTAATTACTACAGGTTTCTAATAATCTGTGCAACATATTGGGAGAAAATCAAAATTACTTTATTTGTATGAAGCACTGGGCTTAATAAACAAGTAATAATTTAAAGAAATGTTAAACCATCACACATTTGCTGAAGTTCTAGTCATTTATATAGAGTCATAAAATATCTGTTTCTTACTCAAAAGGAATTGGAACTCTTTGGGTTTCTTACATGTTTGAGTGAAGTTATGTTTTTTTCTAATTTTTTATGAAATATAGAAATTGAATTGAATTTTCATTCAACTTTTATTAAATAATTTAAAAAAAATTCGAAAAAAAAGAATATGACAGCTATATGCTATAGTGGTCCAAAAAAAAGTTCGTACGGAGATTGTATCGTTGCTTTGGACAATAATCCATACCAAACTACGTGCAGATATCTCGTCAAATAAAAAAGTATTCCATACAAAAACTTTATTTGGATCGTTCAGTTTGTATAGCACCTATATGCTATAGTGGTTTGATATCGGCGGTACCGACGGTTACCGATGTAAAAGTTGTCAGATCAATATCTCAAAATCTGAGGGACTAAGGGAACTACGCGAACGACTATATATATGTACAGACAGACAGATTGACAGCTTGTCATGCTGATAGTTTTTACATATATATTGTATAATATATTATAGGGTCTCCGGCGTTTCCTTCTAGGTGTTAAAAATGTTGTGGCAAGCGTAATAAACCCTATTCAGGGCATAAAAAACGAATATATATTTTAACATTAACTAAACGATTAGAAGCATGCCTTTTTGCACTTCATCATAGTTATATAAGTAAAATTCATGTTTGCATCTTAAAATATTTAATAAAAACATTCGCATTTTCTATTCCTAAGGTAGGAAGTACCGAAAATAGATTATCTTCGTAGTTCCAAAACTTGCATATTTCTACATTACGAATTATTTTTGGTTTTCATCGTAGGGCGTACTCTATATTTGAAATAATAAAGCAATGTTGTTTCAAATGCACGAACTTTTGTCCTTTAAAAAATATTTCAAGAGAGCTTTAATGGATTAGGATATTCATTTTGTGTGCCTCTATTATATCTGGTTTAAAACAAAGACGGATAGATAAGTTACCATCGGTTAAGACAAGACAAGTACATCCTTATAATGTGATGCTGCAGAATGGATTGTTTTATTATATCTTTATACCATACATAAAGTAAAAATTGTAGTAAGCCGAATTTCATTATATCGATTTTATAAACATTTTATAATGCTATTCATTATACTGTTTAATAATTAATAAACTAAGCTGTAAGAACTAAATGAATATACATAAAGAAAAATGAAAAGCAGGACATTGTTTTAAATATATATTTTTTAATTGCATATACTCTTGCACTCATTTCTTTCGATGAATCAAAGAGTTACTGACTGGACTTTCATGTACATCAGAAATCGTAATATCTGAATCATTTGTATTTCATAAAGAAAACTATACAATTTTTACAAATCGCGTATCAATTTGTTAACAAAATTAACTAAAAGTTATTAATTTTGGTGGTATCATATCATTTAAAGATAATTAAGACTTTCCAGATACCTTAAAAATACTAAATTTAACAGAAAACTGATTTAAAAGTAACACAAATTATTTATATAATCAAATAAATGAACATATTTCAATTACACTTAGTTAAAGCAATGTAAAAATGGAAGAAAAGTAAGCAGCCCATGTACTATACCAAGTTTGTCTTATATATGATATAAAAAGTCTCTCGTAATAGGAAAGTATCAATAGTATCGATCGAAAGTTGTCGTAGATTATTCCACTTGTTAAGTAATAATGAAATTCGGATAGTCCGTAACATAGTATAAAGGTGATGTCTCAGCCAATTAATATTTACTAATATAAATTCCGATCGTATGTCAATTTCTGTAGAAACAATCAAATCAGTTAGTTTTAATTAGTCATATAATCGTATGTATGTATGTGTGCTCATATATTATTTAAATCACATAAGAGAATTCAACGTCATATAAGCTTTGCTGTTGTTCGATGTTACAAATATAAGTGTGTTCTCGATCAACTTAATTCAGTTACGTATTTAACACTTATGAATTTATTTATTTTGCAGATTTCAGTTTCAAATATTGATAAGACGATTAATACAGTGGCTTTGTGTGGGCTTTCATATTTATTCACAAATTTTATATCATTATTTTAGTAATTAATATATGTATATTCAATCATTACATATTTAATGGGCTTAAATCTAATACGTATATTGAGTCATTCCTTGCTAACCACTTGTATTTGCGTACTGTTTTCATATTACATTACTAACACACTTTACTGCTGTATATTCAACCAACGAATTATCTAAGTGAAGTTGCAGTATAATACACAAATTTATTTTATCGTATATATGCATGTAACTGTGTTATTTCTTTAAGAAGGTTTACTTTTAATTGCTACATATGTTTATAAAACATAGTCTTCAGTTACTTTATATTTGTTTTGTGTAGCTAGATGTTTTTCTTGTAAAATTTTTGAAGCATAGTTCTAAGTTTTATATTTAGTCACTGGCTAAAATGTATACTAGTTTCTATGTTTTCTTGTTTCTTTCGTTTTGGTAATCATGGTTCTGTCAATGCTGCAGACCAACGCAGTCAACAATATATGTTTTAAATATCGCATAACTATAACTTACCGAAATATGGTGTTTCTATCATTAATGAGATTTTAATTGCAAAGAACTTGCATTACATTACAATATACAATTTAGTGCGCATTATTATATTACTTACTCAATTCATTATCACTAAATTATGGCATTGGAGAGAAATTTTTGCGAAAATATAAATTATTATTATTTATTGGAATATGAAATATCATAGGGAGTCGAGAGAATATTTCTAATAAGTTGCTGGTTTTTCATTTTATTATTGCAAATATATTTTTATACGTAAGGTAAATTTGAAAATTAAGGAAGTATCAATAATTTATCATTACGGCTAATTATCATTAATTCCATTTACAAAATTTTAAATGCTCTGATCTCTCCCCAATTTTTTTTTTGACTAACTGCGCTCTGGTGTTCCCATATCTCTTTTGCTCATTTCTTGATTATTTTAAAAAGCTTAAGTGTATGTGTATGTATAAATTTAAACACCTTACTTATAATATGCATGCATGTACTGATGTGTTACATATATATAATGTATATATTTGTATATACAATTATTTATGCAGATACATATAAATATCTGATTTGATACTTTAGGTTTAAGTATAGTGTATATATATATTTATAGTTTTCAGGCTTATGTAACTAAATTACTAAGTAAAATGTTTTACGTATTTAAGTTATCATCTTTCGTTTAGTATTTGTGATTTTCCTTTTTTATCAAAACTAAGTCAATGACCATCTGGGAAATTGTGTCATATATTAGCCATATCTGTAATAACTGCACTCACTACCAATCGGCTTTGTTTGCATGCGCAGCTGCTAATTTCGCAATTAATGCTTTTGTGTTTATGAATTTACGAAGTAACTTTACTTACAGCCTTGAGCAAATCATGATTGCTCTTTTCGAGCGCACTCATCATGCCTAAATTACTGCCGATGCCACCGCTTACGCCCACTCCCACACCTGAACCAACACCCATTCCCAAACCTAGTTTAAGATCATTCTGACCGATGACGGAGTGATGCAAATGTCCTGAATTGTGTGCAATGATCGAATGATGATCCTGTTGCTGTTGTTGGTGTTGTTGTTGTTGTTGCTGTTGCTGCTGCTGCTGTTGCTGCACCTGTTTATTGACGGTTTGCTGGGCGGATTTCATGGACTCTTGAGCTTTCATTTTTTCTTGCTCTTCGCGGTCGCGACGGGCCTGTAAAGTAACACAAAATCAAATTTATTTTGTATTACACGCATAGAAATGGTAAACATGGAGTTTTCCGGAATTTAAACAGAAGAACTTAAGATATATACGTTCACCAAATTTTTAATTTGGTCATAATATTTCAAACTAAAAAAGGATTGGTTTGAAATATACCTAAATGCCTTTTCTGTATTTATATACGAGTATTCATTACTTTTATACATTTTTCTATGCTTCGGTTTTACGGTAATTTAGTATAAAGTTACCCACCTGTTCGTTGATTTCTTTAACGGCACGTAGTTCTTTCTTCAATTTCATGCGTCGATTTTGAAACCATATTTTTATCTGACGCTCAGTAAGACAAAGTGCATGGGCGATTTCAATTCGTCGCCGACGGGTTAGATAGTGATTAAAATGAAATTCCTTCTCCAACTCAAGTGTTTGAAATCGTGTATACGTTTGACGGCCACGTCGACGTGGGCAACCGTTAGGACCTAAAATTAAACATATCATATATATCATATTAATATAAATTACTAGAAGAAGTTATATGTACCTATTTTATATTAATTTATAATATCTACTTCATATTTCGGTGAGGTCTATAAGTTTTAATCAATATGACATAAGTCCTTTCTTTATATATTTAGTTTTTTATTTCTTTGTTTTTAGTTATTTGAGCTTACTGAAAGTGACAAAACCGAAAATAATTGTATATTTATTACGTGATCCACCTAGTTAGGCTGGAAGATTTTTCTTTTATAATAGGTATCGATTACACGAGGTTTGGATTTTTTTACCCCGTAACTGCCCTCAGTTGAATAGTAGTTATTTGGCTTGATATGTCTTTTCTCTACTTGAGCCTTTTTTCTAAGTGAATGTCAAGTACAAAATTTCGCTCATATCTGGTCCTATAACTGTTATACGTTTTTGAGATATTCTTGAACTTTGTTGTGGTATTGTTTTGAAGAATGTATAAAGTTGTACATTTTTCTGAGGTGTACGAAATGATATGAAATCAGTTACCAGGATTTTACTCAAGCAAAGGAGATACAAGACTTGTCCTATAACATCGGAAACATCCGAATTGAAAAATTCCATTAAATAACTATGAACGCACTGCTAAAAATTATATAGTAGCTCACATTTATGGTAATATTTTAGTGGACTGACGACACATTTGCATTTTTCTTACGAATTATTGGTTTTGCATGACTTAAACAGTTGCACTAGTTGGTATATGAATGGTGAAGAACATTTGAATATTTAAGGAATTTGGTAGGCTACTACATTTTATATAAACCGTTCGAACTGCTTCAGCAAATATCAGAGATCAACTAGAAGCTGTAGATTTTCTGTAACTATTTCCACCATCAATCCGTCACTTTGAGAGAGTTTTAGTGTAAATTTTTGGTAAACTTTATACATAACTGTTGCTATTGGCGTAGCTAAAGGGTGAAACCCCTAGCATTCGTCTTAGTGCTCAGCAGGTCTTTGTCAACCATAGTTTAGCTGTTCGGGTGTTGTTTGTTTGTTTTGCTGATGTACTGCTGTGCTTCAGCTTGTAGATCTCATTCGTTTCGAATGTGCTGAAAATCTTTCCATACAGGGAGTGTATTCTACAGCTAAGAGCGTCAAGTAGGGCGACCACCTGCTTTGTTTCACTAGTGTTTGTGCTTGTATATTTTAGTTTTTAGAATTCCTTCATATTTTTTACTTTTTTACCTCTTACTGCTTTCAATTATTCACGCTACCTGTGCGAATTTTTTACCAAGTTAGTGCACTTATTGTTTTGCCGTTGTCATTTTACGTGGGTTTATACCTTAAACAGTTCAGCGGTATGCCGCGACGGACGCACAGTCCTCTGTTTATGTTTCAGAAATCAAAACCTCTAATTGTTTCTGTATTCCGCTGGTAGTAGTATTTTCAATGCTCACTTTTTATTTGCGTCTGCATTTTTTTACAATCCAGGTATACGTCTTTATACCTTTATTTAATCTTCTTTGAAAAGTACGTATCTTTATGCATTATATATTAAAGGATTTTTGTTTGTTTAGATTAGAGTGTTCACGGTGCAGCGACAGGTAAAACATCAATTTTAAAACGCATCATTTTGCTGTGAACATAATATATTTTACAAAGTATTAATGCGTGAAATATCTTACACCGATATAAAATAGGAAAAATTTGATTTCAATCATATAGATTTGTACGTTTTTAAGACAATGGTGACTGACAGGCGCTATTAAGAAAAGCTGCATATAAAATATATGAAATATATATGCATTTTCATGCACAATTCGTCGCATTATAATAAAATGTATTGATTTATACAACTTTCGTTGTTGATTTACGTGAGTACCTGCCGGCGACGGCCTTACCTCACGGTGTTCCAAAACACAGAGTATCAATACAATGCGTTGATAAGCGCCCCAAACAATACGAGCTATTTGCAAGTATTTATTTGGATACCAATGGCAGTGTATTTGGGTCCACACTACCATCTTGGCATGATTCGAGGCCGACCTAAAACCTCTTCCGTTTTTGGGGACGGAACCCAGTTGCTTTTTGCAACTTTATTTTAGAACTGAAAAAACAGTTAGGCTGAATTTTCAGTTCTTCCTGCATTTAGGTTTCAACCACAGCCACCACGAATCTCCCCAAAGGGGCCATAACCCAATGAGCAGATTGGACCGTAGTCCAAGAGTTTTCTGCTCCCCGTGGTATCAGAAAGTCTCCGGTAAGACTGTGTAGCCGAAACTACTGCCAATTGAGCAACCCATTACTTAATGACTGGTGACATTTGTCGCTTGAACTTCAAATGTCTTTTTATTTGCTTTTTCATTTAAAGTCTATAATATCAGTTCAAGCTGAGTATTATAGCACTATTTCTGACATACTATGCTGATATTACAGAGCAAGGTACATAATAACAGTCATAGTGAATATTAGCTTTTAGTCGCCTCTAACGACAGGCATGCCTTACCGCGGGTAAATTCTTACCCCTACCCGCAGGGGGAATTGATTTATACAATAAAAATTTTATATTTTTAGATTTACATATATAAAATAGTTAGTTTTTGCACAGGTTTCTCACAAACATGTCTGAATTCTGAACGCCGTTTTATATATATATAAATTATATTAAAACATACATTTCACTTGTAATTTAAAAATATAATTACAAGATACTCGCACTTATCAAGATTTAAGGACGAATGCAACAGTGGCTATAAAAGTGATTTTAGTTATAAAATTAGTTAGCAAATTAGTTAAAATAAAATTATCAAAAAAAAATGTAGGAACTACACACACTCTAGAAAGTCTGCTTAAGGGAGCAATCACAAAATTGACGAAGCTATGAGTATTTTTATACCTGCCTAATAAATCTCATTTAAAATGTTTTCCCCACAACTCACGTTTTCAAAGTCGATGCCCTTGATGGCTTCAAAACTACCGCACCGTTCCTTTCAAAATTTTAAATGCAATTTCTGTACATTATTTATGAGGTAACGCCAGATAACTCTCTGTATCTTGTTAATAATTTTTATTTTACAATAACCAATTAGCAAGCTTTTTTTTGCAAAAAATCGCGTTTTTTCCATTAATCCGGCGTTACCTGGGTTAAAGTAGTATCAAACGAATGAACCTTGATTTTTCGAATAAGTGCTGCCATCGAGAAGAGTTTAACTGTATCTTCAGAAAATATGCCTGTATTTACACGAGCTAACCAGACTACAATCACTCACAGTTCCCCTTAAGTAAACGCTAATAATATAGAAAACTTCCTTGATTTCACGTGTTTTTTAGAGTCCGATCAATTTAAACTATATATCGAGTAATAACTCATAGAAGTACATTTATGTCGAAATTTCAATACTGCGAATATGTTAAAATAAAAAGATGTTTTAAAGGAAAAGGAAATATTGCAGAAGTTATTCTAAAATTTACTTGTTTGTTGGGCTGATTTAAACTGCTACGTTTAAATAGGTAATATACCATAAATAATAAAGATCTTAATTAAGTGCTTAAAAATAATATATGTACATATATGCATGTGAGCAACTAAATATAAAAATTAACAAATGTAATTTTGCTTCTTTTTCTATCATAATATATCATAAATGCTTCAAAGATGAAATACGGTTGCTATCTATCATAGAGGGAGTAGGGCGAACACCATTAAAATCAGAACAAATAAGTCAAAAAGAGATAGGGCATTGGACTGGATGATATGCAGGAGTAATACCAGAGCCAACAAAATCAGATGACTAAAGCATAGTGGAGTCCCATATAAGTTTGTCGTCGCTATGAGGTTTAGGGCTGAGCAGCAGCAATGGAATCCAATATGGCTGCTCTATCGATATTGGTTAGCACACAGGTAGACATAAATGCATGCAGACGACAATGGTGAACTGTTGTCATGACAACAAATGAGTGCTGATTGGGAGGTGCTAAGCACTCTTTCCGTTTAGTCATGCGCTGTGCTCTCCCTGAACATTGACGTGTTGAGTATAGCAGCTATGGTGAGTTGTAATATTCAATATACATGTATGTGTGTATGTGTAATATATGTATTGCCCGCTTTTGGGTTCGAGTCTCGAAGTTTTTCATTAAAATGCGGAAATCGTATTAAACTTAGTCACTTCTTGAAGAAAGCAATCGGTCACTACAAAAGTTTTTTATAAGCACCTAACAGGTTTCCGATCGCTTAAGATGGTAATTAAACATAAAGAATATGTTTATATAATTGATCTTAATTCTTGCGTATTTCATAGTTTCATATGCATATTACTTCACTGTTACTGGTAGTAGAGAAGAGTGTGTGATCTATATATATTATATGCTACAAATTAATAAATGCATTTATATAATTCTTTTCTCGATTCAATTATATAAAAAAAATCGTACTAGTAAAAGAACACATTTTAAAGAGTACTACCAAAAAATATATATAGTACATAATTAATATCAAATTAAATAAATTGCTATATTACATAAATGGATATGCATACAGTTGAATATAGAAGTTTCAAGTAACATTTACATATGCATGTGTGTATCCAACGTAGGTCTTCGATTTATTTATCATTTTAAATATTGGTAGAAATGTATAGTTCTCAGGATTACTATATAAGGAAACAAATGTGATTTGTATACCATAAAAACTTTAAATCTGTACATACATATATTTAATGACCTTTAGATATATATAAAGTTTCAGAGAAAAACTAATAAATTTATTTAGGGCTGTAGCCACAAATGCAACAATTTTTTTTATTAATGTACCCATTTAACTAAAAGTGAGCTTCGTCGCTGAAAAAAAAATCTTATAAAAATCGGGATCGGTGGCCATCTCGTTGAAAATACTAAAAGTGCGACAAACTTATTAATACGGTAAATTTTACACCCGGGATGGTTCAAAAAGGTTTCATAGGAGCCGGTATTCCCTTGTATCACAATTTTTAATTCTCTCTGATTTCATTTTTCTCTG